TTTAACATAGAAAAACATGTTTAAACACCCAACTTTCCAACCGCAAATTATTATATTAAGCCCCGGGAAAATAGGGAAAAAAGTTGCAACCACAAGGTGTTAATTAGCGAGTAACCACAGTGGTTTTGGAACAAGTAAAAGTGAGCTCGATCCGCAGACAGGCGGGGGAAATTAATTCAGCGACTGTCTGTCGATGGCTAACGATGCTGTCGAGGTCGCCCAGCGTGTAATTAATTGAATTATCTGTAACTTAAACTGTTATAAATGCAGGCAGCCGTCGTCGCCCAGATTGCGTCTATCTCCCTGCCAACTGGATGTTCCGACTGTCTGCCCACTTAAAAATCATCCTGTCGAGAACAGGGATTGTGAAAGAGGATAAACACATATATAACTGATGGAGGCAGAGTCCAGCGACCGAGTGGGCGAACGACCCCAAAAATAAGTGCCTCCATGCAATCTGAAATACCGGTCCAGTTGAAGCCGCAGCACTCAATTCTAATTAGTCTTATATAAATCGATGGAAGGCAGCTGAAAGCTGCGAGAACAAGAGCAATAATGTGTAAAAATCCTCAAATTGAATCGTTTGTCACGTTGCCAGTTTGCCTGTGCGCCTGTCAGCGATTTCGCGCACTGTACTGACCCTGGGTAATCCGATAAACGCGAACCCAAAGTGCTCTTTAAACTTCCGAAAAGCTGCCAGTTTAAATACATTTTTGGCTTTCATTAAGCTGAGCTGAAGCTGCAGGGTCGTTCTATTCAGGATGAAAAGCTTATTTGCTCTGTTTGCAGTATAAAGTAGATTTTAATCAAGCGTTAGATTGAAAAGGAAAGACTACACAAACTTTTTAATTAATTTTTGAGTAACGAGCTGCTGCAAGTATTTATGTTGAATATTAAACAATAATATTTATAACTAAATTTCCTTGTAAAATCCCCATGCTTTATATTTATTGTAGGCTTGTTTTGATATGTCGACATCATTTTTGCTTCTCCGTTTGGTAAAACCCCACCACAAATGCAAATGCATTTCATATCGCCAATGAGTTTTGCTAACATCTGCATGTGTTTCTATTTACATTTTAAGTGGATACCCGTCTTGCCATGCATATATCTACAATACTGCCTCTAACCATTCCTCACGATTAAATATTTATCAACTTGACGAACACAAAACTTTAAACAAACAAGTTACTGTGTAGCAAAACGCTTTGGACAGCCAACAAGAAGCCATTCAAAAAACTTTGGAACATCCTCAAAAGGGAAGTTGCAGTACACACAAAAAAATATTGACTGAAATTGACCAATGTAGTAGTAAAATGGTCATCATTCGACCAACGAAATAGTTACTCTCCCAACAACAGAATACAACAACTTACCATTTTGTAGTAGTTCTACTCTTAAATACGCGTCACTATTTTTATAATTATCCGTAACTTGTTAATTTTAGCCATACAATTTTTTTGTGTGTATAAAAGGAATATCAGAGACGCATTTTCAGACATTTTCAGGGAAAAATAGAGGTGGGTGGACTGGCTGCAGAGCAATCCAATGGATTGCAAGTGTAATTGGCCAATTAGGAATCACACAGCTTCAGTTGCAGTAACTGAAGTAGAGTGGAATTTGCATAAAAATGTAAATTCGATTATTGTCACATCATAAAGGGGCAAGAGTGAAAAAAGATGTGAAGTTATTTTCAGAACACCTATATAATAGTTTATTTAAAAGTATTCCCAGAAACCATTACAAACTTCTCTGCTATTTTGGTAAATGAGTTGAATGAAAAAGCCCTGTTGAAATAAGTTAAACCTGAACTATTCACATATTTTTGTGGCAAAAAAGTACTAAACTTTGTTTTTATGTCCATGTTTAATTTTGCTGCATAACAGCATTTCTCTCATTTGTAGAAACTAATCAAAAGTATGTATAATTTTGCAAATTAAAAAAGTTTTAGACACAGAGACCCTTGTTTTACCCTGTTTACTAGTCCAGAAAGTGAATGATGACGAACTTGTTCATAACGATGCCAGTTGCACTTGCCATCCGCTTTTTGCCTCAATCAATTAAAACGCCGAGAAGCAGAGGGTAATATTAGTAGCCATAGCAATGGCAAATAGACGAGAGCTACGTAGAAAAAAATCTGGAATTTATCTCCGGCTGGGGAAAAAACACGTTTAAAAGCTGTTTGGCCAAATGGCTGATGGATGAATGTTCATGGTGATGCCGCTTCAGGGCCAATAAACGAAACTGTTTTGAAACAAAACACCGTCAGCTGGCAGCGAGCATCAGGATGAGGAGATTCTGGCCCAAAGTGAACTCAAACTTGGGCGAGGTCGTTCCTCAGGGTCCCAGAATCTTGCGTAAGCCCCTTTAAATCCCTGCATTTCGCCCCAATCACTTCGGCATCTGCAATTGCAAACAGGAATTAAATCCCGCCTCCATTCGTTCTCATCTTGTGCAGTACAACGTGCTGATTCTGATTCTCCAATTCGACAGAGAACGTGCCCTTAATTGAATCAGTAACTAATTAAGCATTGTCTTACTGATTGAAGCATGGTTAATTTGGCGCTACGTTTACATCTACATAGTTTAAGGCGTTTAAATTGGATACATTTATGAAAAGGATGCATGGAGCAATTGCCTCGATATGCCTCAAATTAATTTAAGCACACCCCATTAATTTCGTAGAATTTGATTGTTGGCTATAAATTCTATAAATTTCACAAAATTTGTGTGGCGTATTTATAGATTAAACAAATACTAAATCCCTATAACTACATTGCACTCGCACTATGAGGAATTGGGATAATTATAAAGAGCAAAAATCAGTTTAAGCCATTTTATGCCACATTTAATTTGATCTATTGCTTTGTTATTTTTTATACATTCATTTTTTCAGCGTTAATTTGATATATTGCAGAATTAATTTCCCTTTTAGTACTAATAATGAATTTCAGCATGCGAGGTGATGTTTTTATGCATTTTATGGTGATTAAACATACGTTTTAAATAGATTTAAGCAATTTAATGCATCATTAAATTTGATGCATGTATAAATATTTTTAACATTGAATTACTGCATACTGCATACATACCTTCAATTAATAAAAAAGAAAGATACCAATGAATGAATTCGTTGGTATTTTGAGCTGCAAATAAAATATTCATTGGCTGGAATTTGACCCTTCATTTATTTTACATATTCCACCGGACAATGAAAAATTAAAAGATACAAATCAGGGAATTTCTTCGATTCGCTGGAACTTTACACATATTTTTATTACAACCAGCAACCAGCGATTTCATGGAACTTTTAGTGCCAGTTAATGCAATTATTCAATTGGCTGAACGACTTGATAGACTGGATGATTCCCGAGCAAAACTCATCCAATTTATTTGAGTTTGCGGCGTAAATTGTGCCACTTGAATAGCTGGTGTTCCGTTCGGTCAGCTGGTGCTAAAGTGCCTTAGATTAGCTGCAGTTCATAATTTCAATTAAGTAACACACAGCTTTTTTTGCGGTCAAACTGTGAGGTAACGAACGAATTGAGTAAAAATAATCAACAGTCGGCGAACAGATGAGTCAGTTAAAAATGGAAAAAAAGAGCCAACCAAGTGGCGCAGCATGCAAAGTGGCCATCGGCAAAACCCGGCTCAGAAAATATTACAAAAAAAAAAACAAAGAAATAAAAATTGGTAAAGAGCGAAGCTGCTCGAGAGAATCCAAGAGTGAGAGTGCTGGCCAAATGAAAGTGAAAGCCCATATACAAACGCTCAGTTGAAAGCCGCGATTTCGATTGATCTGCCGAACTTGAGCGAACGTTGAACGCAGGTGACAGTCGCCGGAAAATTACACTGGAAAAAATACCAATGCAACACTTGGTTTTTCCATAATTTGTATACACTTATTGTCAAATTAAATTTGATTTTTTATGTTGCTTATGACATCAATATATTTGTTTATTTGGGTTATTAAAATAGGGATCAGGGCTGATTTTGTTAATTAATATTAACACAATGCTGCATTGTTATTTTTTATATTCACTTAAGTTTGCATGAATATTTATGCACTTTTTACCTTGCCTTATCTTACCAAAATATGCAATCTTAAAATGGGGTTATTGAAAACGGGAACAAAGCTGATTATATTATTTAATATCATCACATCATGTCATTTATGGAAATTGCATTGTTGTGTCGAATCCAATACCCACATGAATATTTATTAGTAGTGAATATATTTGTATAGATTGCTTAACTAAAATCGGGTAACAAGGTGTTTGATTGATTTATGTCAATACGTCTAATGATTTATAAATCAAAATTAAGTTTAAGCTATAAAAAAAAGGTAGTTTAAAGGGAATTTAAATTTGTCTGTATTAATAGTTCAGTAGTAGCTTGGAAAAAAAAATAAAGAAGCGATAAAAACTTGACTCAGGTAGTTTTTAGATTGAAACTGATTTCAAGAAATACAAAAAATATAATTGAAAGGATAACGATGAACACTAAAGTTAGCTGGTTATTAGCCATTGCATAAACTTCACTTAGTTGTTATGGCTCTATTAAAGTAATAAACATTTCAAATCCACAAATGGTATTTTTATTTCCATTTTAATCGCTTTCATTTCCGATTTTACAAAATTTCCCAGCCGTAAAATGATTTTTTTTCCGTGCAACACTGTTGAGCGGAAGAGAGTGTAAACGATGAAGACGCAGAAATGCTGTGAGTTACGGATAGGTTGGCGATTGGCAGTCAGAGTGACTGCCTCCGAGGCAGAGACAGACGTAAATAATTACTCAACCAACGTCGATGATCGATTCCCGCGCCCAAATTAGCATGCGCAACTGGACAAACCGCGTTGGCGCCTCGTAATCCCGATCTCCACCGTAATCCCCCCCCCCAAAAAAAAATAAAAAATTCACCCAGAGCAAACGTGCGTGGCTTGCAGTTGGCCATTTATGACAGCTTTTTTTAAGCCGCCTTGTTTGTTTGGCTTTAAAAGTAAATACGGGAGGTAATCAAGCGGGCGCATGCGCAGCCAACTGTGGCCAAAACGCACATTTCTCTTTGCTTTTCTTTGCCTTTTTCGAATTGTTACCATTTCTGCCTTAAACGTGAGTCGCATGGCCAAAAGCTGGACACGCTCGAATGTGGCCCACAAACCGAAAAAAAATTTGTTTGCCACTTGAAATCTGTGTTAGTATGCAAGCGGGTTGGACATTACGTCTTATCAACGATTGAATAAGCATATGCTTAGAAAGTGTGGCCAAAACATATGGTAAAAAATATTATTATATTTGGATTTTATTGTAGGTTATTAAATGCTAATTACCATATCCTAACCAATTTTATAGACAAATTTTTAATGAATTGATTTTTGCTTGCAATAAAATATAAGTAGTGTGCTTTTAAGGTTTATGTTTAAAAAACTTAATGAATAACTGGAAATACTATATAACTCCGTCTTTGTCAGGAGTTCAATTCAGAAACCAGCCTATCAAAAATTTTAAAGATATAATAACACTGGAACACAAAATTGAACTCTGTTAAATTTTTTAATTTCGGTTTAAAGCGATTTCATTAGTATAATATGTTGGATTTTTTTATAGCAATAAACCCGATTTTTTCGTTTTAATATCTACTCCTATATGTTGTCAAATTTAAAATTGATGCTCGATAAAAAAAAAATAAAAAAGTGGGAAGATTATTTAATAGGTTTGGTTACTGTAATAATCATTAATCATGGTTGTACAGCATAACGTCTATTAAAAATCCATTTACTGATCTTCAAACACTTATTGGAAAACAATAATAGAAATAGAAATGGATTATTTACGGGGCATGTATTATTTGAAAAATAAAACTGAGCCATTTATTTTTAATGTCGCGACTTTGTTGATGTACCAAGTAGTATGTAGTCCATATTGGCCGTAGTCTACGGGAAATTTAGCTATCACTTTGCCTTCGTCCGGAGTCCAATTCAAAAGTTGCATCTCTGATCCAGCCTTTTAATAAATGTAGAAAATTATTTTATTTATGTAAAATGGTAATATTTTCGGACTTACCAAGTATGGGCAAGTGTGATTCACATTTGTGTATGGCTTCATAAACGAATAAATAAGATTGGGAATAAAGAATTTCCTTGGGTTCTTTAAGAATTGACAAGAGTCCAGTCTTATATCGTACAAAAAGGGATGCCAACCGCCACTCTCGCGTTTGACAATCTTAAAATGGATCTCAAGCTTCAATAAAAATGACATATAATTTTCGTTAAATATGTTTTGGCTTACAAATTACCTGAGTTATCGTTTTATTTAAAAATGTTTTTATGTTTATCATGTTGTGCTTTCTATCTATGGCCTTTATGTGGCACTGCTCTATGTAACCCACATCTGGAGAGCTCAGTTCGCAAGTAAGTGAATTAAACTTATAAGAACCCTTGACATTGGAAAAACAAAATTTTAAGTTTTCTACACCTTCTACAATGTACAACTTGCTCACATGAATATAAGTAAAGTTATTTAGCCAAAATATACACAAATAAAAAACTTGTAGCCTCATCATTTTGGGTTCGAAGACTGGATATAATTCGTAATCCATAATAGTTCAGTTTGTTAATTTTTTTGTAATTATATAAAATTGTTAATGACACTTGCCTGATTGGTTAATTTGGGTATTGTCGATTATATTCAATTCCAAATGACTGATATTATTATATTATTGGAACCAATTAAAGATATAAATATTATTTAAGGTTCTGAGTATTTAATTTTTTACTCATTTTTGTTCAGCCTAGCAAAAAGCCATAGTATAAGGTATAATTGAATGTAAATCAGTGCGATAACCTAATGTATATCTTACCACCTACTTAATGTGAATGTTGTAACTGATAAATATATTTATAACACCACGTTTCGTTTGAAAACCGGATTATTCTGAGCCTGTTTCCGTCAGTCATACGTTTTTGAGCAATAGCTTTGTGTCCAATTATGAGTATTATATATCAATTAAATATATTGAATATATATTTTCGTCACTAATGGTGCAGCTTTATAAATAAACATTAAGTTTGTGGATTAAGTTGGCCATTATAAAAGCATCGTGCCCATTTATGTAGGCTGTCATTCAACTATTAACGGTTCGCATCACAATGCATTTGGGTTGCATTAATGCCGCACAGATATTGGCACCGCTATAAGCCCACCTTTCCCCTCTATGTGACTCCACTCCCCGTTAATGACAGCAAACTCATCGAGCCGCCCGTCTAAATGGTTTTGTGCGTCATCATCTTTCACCTGCCAAACGTTTCGCAGATGATTTGTAATTTGTGCGGTTTTTCGAATACTTTTTCAATGCACTCGACCGCAGCAACTTTGGGTTTTGGGATGATAATGCTCCAGCAGCTGTGCACGATCAATGTGAAGATCGTACATTATGTTGGTTAATTTTTTTTCGAGGGTCGTTGTCACGATTATGCCCAGCTTTGGAGATATATCTCTTTGATGGTTTATGGTTTATGGTTACTTTACTTATCTCCACACCTCATGAATCTTAAAGGGCGTTGCCTGGGAGGGGTTAGCATAGGGGATTATAGAGCACATTATGCGTGCACGTGACTGGAAGCCTAATGAGGGAGGCTTGAACTTTAAGCTGTCAGAAAGGCTTATTAGTCGCATAAAACTAAATAGATATATAAATTCTGAAGTTACAGAAACATTTTTGAGGTATATTTGGTTAATTGTTGCTGAAATGCTGAACTTATCATTTATTAAAAAAGGTATAGGGGTACCATCTAGTAATTTTGATATTAACCAAGGTTTTTGTGTTACATTACAATATACATTGTTGATTTTTTAATTTAAGAGCTTACAGATAAAACCTTAATTATTATTATTTTAGTTAAGTTCATAAAATCGTAAATAAGACATTAATGAATCAGTTTTTATATTAGTAAACAATGATGTTTGAAAAAATTAAAGAAACAATGACAGACAGATATTGTCACGTTTTCTGCTGAAAGCTTAATCAAGATCCCGAGATCAAGTCGAACCCTGCGGCACTTCAACGTGACCACACCACTGTGTTTGCTCAGCTCATTTCAATGCCAAACTCTTTTGTCAGATCGCGATTGCCACAACTATTGTTGTTCTTGGCTAAATAGGTGTTTTTTCCTTCTACGGGTTCGTGCAGGTGTCTAACTTTGCCATTTAGCCAGTTACACTCCACACTTGGGCAGTGAGAACACCTAGCCAAGTACTTCCCACGATGAGGGACATAAGCTGCTCCATTAATTAAGGCAGCTAAGCTGTCTGCCAACTCATTTCTTGTGTGCAAATTAGCTTTATTATAATTTCAATTGCCTGTGTCGATAATGTTGTTGTTGCCTTTCACTCTGTCTGGGCTTTCATTCACATATGATTGGCACTCTTTGATGGCAGGAAAGATATGTACATACTTTCGTTTTCAAGACCCCGTTTTTCCCCCCCCTGAGGACTACTCGAACAGCAAGAACCTTTTAAGACCGCTTTCCGGACAAATAGACAGACTGGGGACAGACCTTAATGTACACATTTCTGATGAGCATATAAGCATATATATATGTTTAGCAGCACTCAAGCGCATCTCCCAGATGTCGGCGACAATTTATGATGATGAGTGTCAAGTGCTTTGTCTGTCTGTCAGCGGATTAACTGCGGATAAAGGCCCCTACGCCATGCATATTCAACGAAGACAACTAATTTATTCCTAATAATTGGCACAGATTGCACAATGCGACCGCAGAGCACGATAATAATAACAGCGAATAACAATGGCATCGCCGAAATAAAACCCAAATCCCAACCCAAAACAAAATAACCAGCCCCACAAATCATTGACATTTCGATGTGCCAATCGTTCGACATTTTGGCGGGCAATTTAAAATTAATTTCCCTGCAATTTGCGCAGACCAATTACCTATGTGGAACTGCCTTTTGGTGTGGCCTTTGTCTGACTAGATGTCGTCATTTAGTAGTTAAAAACGAAATTTCGCTTTCGTTTAAGCTCCGCTGAGTGATTTCATGATTTCATGATTTCTTCTCGCCTGCATCTCCATCTCCGCTCTCCCTTTCTATACTATCTAGTCATAGCGATACTATCCATACGATCTCATCAACCATCCATCCATCTTTCGTTTTATAGGTCGTCCATGGCGTGCGCATCCAACTGGCCGATAGCGAAGACGACTCCGCCGGAGAGGGAGAGTCGTCCAGGCATAGCGTGCGCCGGCGCAGCGTTGCCGCCGAGCAGCCGCTGCGAATTCTGCTCGTCTATGACGACTCCGTCTACAGGTGAGTACCAGGTACACTCTGGAAAATAATTACCGAAGATAGCAGAATTTTGAAACTAATTTTTGAGTAAAATCAACTTATTTTTGTTAGGAGTGGAAGATAAACTTCTATACTAAGAAATATTATTTTTTATTTTTAAACTTATACTTTTTAAACTAGTTTTGAACCTGACACATTACTACAAATTTTAGCAAAAGTACATACAAAGCCATACTATACCATAGAATCTCTTAGCCTAGATTTGATTTAGAATATTTGCACTTAAGGTTTTTTTGTATTTTGTAAAATTGTAAAATTAAAGCTGTTTAACAAATGAAAATTTTTTTTTAATATTTTGTAAAAGAAAAAAAGAACAATTTGACTTAGGTTTATTGAATACAAAAGCAATTCTGAATCAAAATAATTCCAAAATCCAACAGACCAATTTTGCTTAAAAAACTCATTACTATTCTTCTAGTACCACATAATTACGTATTTTTTGCAAGTGTAAATCTGTGCTCCAGCTCTGAAAATTGGCTTTAATTGCGCTTTAATGGCAGCCAGCCAAGCAGACAAAAAACAGTTTACAATTTGACTTGGCCGAATGTCAAGTTAACATAAAGCCGCGCTAAAAGACCGAGTAAATAATTCACTCTCCCGAGCGTTTTGCTTTGGCCATGCACCGTTGCGGCCGCTCCGGGTTGGGTAACAATATCTTAACTTCAGGCCCGAATCGGTTGGCCATGTGTGCGCAATTTGTCCAAATCAACGCAGTGGGCCGAGGTGTCTCCTAAGGTTGGCCATCGATTGCTCCATCCACATGGTCACTTGGCCACTTGGTCACTAGCCACTGGCCACTGACTGCTGACCATTATAACTGGCCAGATTGGCAGACAGTTAGCCCGGTTCGATTGGCGAGCACTGGCAGCGGACAAGGTCAACAGGAAAGCGGAGAGTTGACTCGACTTGGCTTTAATTTTGGGTCTCGTTTTCGATTCAATGAATAATTTAGTCGTGAATAAGTGACTCAAACAGGTGCTAACAGGTACACAATTACCCGGTATGAATATCAGACAGTTGACAGTAATATCGGGCGACCTTGGTGTAAAAGTGCTTTCGTCAAGAAATGTATAACTAACTGATTTCAAGTTTATTATACAGGAATATTTTATTATTGAAATCGAATTTGTTGACTACTTTCACATTGCTTGTTTATTAAATTTACTAATAGTATTGATTTTGGCCATATAATAAAATTGATATCAATTTATTTTAACGTTAGTATGATATTTAGTAGTATTCTAGTATTGGAATTAAAGTTGTTCCCTTTTATTGAACTTTCACTTTTGTATAAGAACTTTAGGCTTCAGAAAATTTAACTCAAGTAAGAACATCATTATTTACTCGCAATTTATGTGATTGGGTAAACAGTTCCATAACTGAAATATAATATTTTGATGGCAATCTTTCCCTAAGAAACCCAATATTCCTGAATTTACCCTGACTAATAAGCTTAAATGGCGAAATCAAGTACATGCCTCAATATGGTTGCCAAGGCTTTTGTTATCCACAAAATGAAATTGGCTTCTTGGATTTCCCAGAATCCCTACACCTTAAGAGGAACGACAACCACGTCGTCAAGCAATCCTTTTCCCCAGAGAATGTAATAAACAAAACTATTTTCTTGTTGTTTCATGCTCACTACCTGCCAGGCTGGAGGAGGAGAAATTTAATTTGATAAATGTGAGTTGACATTTCTGGTTTTCTTGGCAACTTGACTGAATGCTTTGCTTTAACCCCTTCCAGGACACCGTGCTCCCGGAAGCCGTGCAGTTCTGGGAACAGGCGCTGATGGTGCGAGAGACCAAGGGCGTCATTCGCCTGAATAGGTAGGTTGTTCGCTCGCAAAGGAGACGACCGCATACGGTATAAAATATTCATAATTAAATTTCAGGAAATGCGACAGCACCCAGGTGTACGTGAAGAACGGCCACACCCACTGCATTGACCACTGCAAGGCGACGACGATGTGCGGCGAGGTCCAGGTGCCCGACGCCCACTTGGATGTAAGTATCCTTACTTACATAGGCTCTCCATGAACTCAAGTCAAGTTTAGCTCAAGACAAATTCCTTTCAAAATCCAAGCCCAACTAAGGCCTTGGGTAAAATAAGTGCAGCTCAACAAGATATCTATTTGTAAAATTCCAAACTGGTTTAGGCAAGACACAACCAATTTCAGCTTTAATCACGGGTCACTCAAACAGTTGGAAACTTACAAAAACCCTTCGGCTACTTCTACAAACTTAACAAAATATGGGAGCTAAAATGTATTTTTTACAGAATAATCCAATTATTTTCTAGAAATAGGTCTTAATCAAATTGTGACTAAGACTTAATAAATCTGTGACTAACACATAAATGTCAGAGTAGAAACACTGTAGCGTTAGGAATTTACGAAATAAATAATTATAATAAAATGGAAAAAACACTATATAGAGTGATACTTGGTTGGTTAAGGCCTTATCATCATTGCTTGATTTTTGACTAGCTGATTCGACTTTTTTTAAAGTTGTATATAGAAATGTTCTTAACCTTAAGACCCTTTTTTTCGGAATTAAGAAGTATCTTAATAAATTTTAATCTTAAAATCCTAATTCATTTTCACGGTACTCCAAGTATGGATTTATTTCTCTGAAAACTGTCCTTACTTTTATTATTTTTTCTAGGTCTGTCGCGTGTGCAATGCCACTGGTCAGAACTGTCGAGTCGATAGCAATACGCAGCCCGGCGATGGTATTGAGAACGCAGACTTTGTCTTCTACGTCTCCGCCAGACAGACGCAGCGTTGTTTTAAGGGTCTGACGGTGGCCTATGCGGCCCATTGTCAGCAGGAGGCGGCTCTGGACCGTCCCATCGCCGGCCATGCCAATCTCTGTCCGGAGAGCATTAGCACCAAGCCGCAGGAGCTGCAGACGCTGATCTCCACCGTCAAGCACGAGATTCTGCATGCCCTGGGCTTCTCGGTAAGCCTGTACGCCTTCTTCAGGGACGATGAAGGAAAACCCCGGACGCCCCGAAAGTTGGACACTGGCAAGCCGTACCTGAATGAAAAGTAAGTGATTTTAACTCTAAATAAATCAGATGTTAGTCATTGAAATCCCCTTTAAGGCTGCAGATACATCAATGGAGCAACGAGACCATACGCAAGGTGGTGCGAGAGAACTGGTCTGTGCGTGGTGGCCATGTCAACAAGGTGGTGGACATGATGGTTACACCCCGTGTGATTGCCGAGGTGCGGGCCCATTTCAACTGCAATAAGCTGGAGGGCGCCGAGCTGGAGGATCAAGGCGGCGAAGGCACCGCCCTGACCCACTGGGAAAAGCGCATCCTCGAGAACGAGGCCATGACTGGCACGCACACACAGTCGCCGGTCTTCTCGCGCATCACCCTCGCTCTGATGGAGGACTCCGGCTGGTATAGGGCCAACTACTCGATGGCTACGCCTCTGACTTGGGGAAAGGGGCTGGGCTGTGCGTTTGCCATGAGGAGTTGCAAGGATTGGATACAGTATAACCATGCCAGGTGAGGGGATCCTTTAGTTTTATATCTTAGCCTATTTTATAAACTCCCTTTTATTTTATTTTCAAAGGGGCCGCTCTATACATCCCTTTTGCTCAAAAGTTAAGCAGGATCCTCTCCAAACCGAATGCACGGATGATCGCAACTCGGTGGCCCTGTGCAATCTTATACGCCATGAGTTCGAGCTGCCCAAGGGCTACCAGAACTTCGATAGCCTGAATCATGTGAAGGATGGGGAAGAGGGATTCTACGGAGGATCAGTCTCTCTGGCGGATCACTGTCCCTATATTCAGGAGTTCACTTGGCGTAGCAAGAATGTGATTGTAAGAGGATCTCATTGCCGATTCACGGAGAATAATCCCAGTAAGCCAAACCCACTTGCTTAACTAGATTCTTGTTATAATACCAATCTCCACCTGCAGAACCTGAGAAGAACTTCGCACTGGAGAGCTACGGCGAGGGAGCCAAGTGCTTCGACCACAGCGAGTCCATGTGGGAGGAGAGATCCTGTCACCAGACGCGCGAGTGGCAGCACTGGGGCAGTGGCTGCTATAAGTACGACTGCTTCGACGGCCGGCTGCACATCCTGGTGGGCAACTACAGCTACAAGTGCTCCTTCCCCGGGCAGAAGCTATCCATCCGGATCGCGGCCAACGGGTGGCTGCACAAGGGGGCGATCATGTGCCCGCCATGCCACGAGCTGTGCGGAGCACAGTTTGCCGCCCAGGGGAAGCAGTGTCGTCCGGGCGAGGAGCCCGATCCGCTCAACAAATACCCGCGCGACAACCTCGCCTGCGGAGCAGGCGGCGAGACATCACGTTCCGTGGCCATAATCACCGCTGCTCTCCTGCTTTTCGGCCTGCGCTCGGGTCTCAGTTAGACTGGTCAGAATGTGCGGGGTGCAGTTTTATTTGCTCTATATGTATTTAGTGAAATTTGTACATTTTAGCTGTATGGTCTAAGCTCAACTTGTCTAAACGTAGGTCGATTGTAAGTGTAATACTCCCAGCATCTGAATGGGTCGGTTTTATTAGCAAAGAAATTAGCTGCGATTGTAATCTTTGGGCAATTTTTAACAACTTGCACAAACTATTTAATCTTGCAAGTTTTTGGTCCATCTAAATTGTTCTTTATTTCCGCTTCAGAAAATTGTTTATAATAATGCTCAAATATTGTCCTTGGATTACTTTTTGTACCTTTATTTGCTTATATTTTTGTGCAACCGTAATTGACCCTCCTACCAAACATTTAGCATATAATCGTAATTGTATTTTGTCCATCCCAAAATGTGATCTTTTTTAAGTGCGTCTTCGGACTTGTATTGCATTTCAAAATTCTGCTTTCATATAAAGCCAATACCTTCAAAGTGGAGCATCCAAAGACAGTTCTATGTTTCTTGAATACTGATCTGTACATTCCAAAGCCTATTGCGAAAAATATTTAATATTTGGTACGGTGGCATTTGGCAGTTCCAGTTGCTTGTTGTTAAATTCTTTGTTATTTATTATGAATATGGTTTTCGAAATTTGTTGATTGCCTTGTGATTTATGTATTCGATTAGTTCTGTCTAAGTTCAATGTGTTTTTCTATTTCTGCTGCCTATCAAGCATTTAAGATCTGTAAACTCAACCCTCGATTTATAAACTAGCTCTTAAGAACCTAAACTTGAATTGTGAATAAACCAAGAGACCCTTGTACTCGCAACTTTTAAAATAGTTTTAAATTAATGTTTATTTTAATACCTAGGAATATTCAAGCTCCTCGACAAGTTCGTAAAGGATAGCATTCCCATCAGTGTCCTTTGAGGAAGATTCAGCTTTGGGCGGAACTTTTGGCCTACTTCCCTTGTTTTTGCTGGGTTTTGCAGGTGTTTTTATGAGCTTGGATCTGGTACAAAAATAACAAAGATTAATTAAAAGTTATATAACATATATATAGATGTTACTTACGCCTTGGTAAGTTCATCTAGCATAGGAAGTAGCGTGGACCGCGAGACTCCGCGCGATTCCTCCTCGGCCAGTTCTTTCGGATGCGCCTTTCGCTTGTGCGATCGACAATTGGAGCCGTTGGAGAAGTCTATTCCGCAGAAGTTGCACTTGTACGGCCGAATGCCAGTGTGCAGGATGAGATGCGTCTTTAGGGTCTTACTCCGCTTGAACGTTGATCCACAGACATCACACTTATATTGCCGTTCATCTGAGTGGACCAATTTGTGCTTGTTGAAGGTGCGACGGGTCTTGAGTTTCACGCCGCATATTGTACACTCGTAGATTTGGGCACTGTGAGTATCGGAATGGATCTAAAAGAGGAGTGTGCTGGTCATTATTCTAATGGTAATACACCAATGGGACTACTTACCTTTAATCTAGCCTTGTTTTTAAAGCGTCGCAAGCACACGGGACACTCGAAGGGACACTCCTCGGTGTGGACCACCTTGTGATCTTTGAGACCGGTGACATAGTTGAAGCTCTTGCCGCAGATGTCGCAAACATAGGGCTTGATCTGCTTGTGAACCCCTTCTATGTGTCGCTTCAGTGTTCCCGGTGTGGTCAAACGCTTATCGCAGTGCGGACAGGAGTTATCGGACTTAGTTATGGCGGGTAAATGGCTTCGGTAGTGGGCGTTCAGCTGGGAGGCCGAGGGAAAGCATAGTCCGCATTGGTTGCATAACAGCTGTGGTAGATCTTTGGGCACGGTGTTGTGGACCTCTTCCATGTGTCGCTTATAGGCCTTGGGTAACTTGTAAGGCTTATTGCAAATGCTGCATTTGTAGATGGTTGGATCTGGAATCTCGTCATCTTCATCTTCTATGAGATGCTCAGATAAAAGATCTTCATGGGTATCGTCCTCGGACTCTATAGTTTCTTCGACTGCTTTCGATTTAAGGAGTTCTTCTGGGCGTGCTTGGGATATTACTTCATATGTTTCAATCTGGAAATCTTCTACTTGGCTTTCTTCTATTATCTGCGATTCTTCGATGTAGTCCTCTTCCGGGATGTTTTCCACTTCAACAAGGCCATCTGAGGTTTCGCCGACGTAAGGCTTGATCTGCTTGTGAAACCCATCTATATGTCGTTTAAGGGATGCCGAAGTGGTAAAATGCTTTTCGCAGTGCGGACAGGAGTTATCAGACTTCATTTTGGCGGGTAAATGGGTGCAGTAGTGGGAGGCTAGCTGGGTGGCTGTGGGAAAGCATAATCCGCACCGGTTGCATAGCAGTTGTGGTAGATCTTTGGGCACAGTGTTGTGGACTTCCTCCATGTGTCGCTTGTAGGCCATGGGTTTTATGTACGACTTATTGCAAATGCTGCATTTATAATTGGTTGGTTCCACGGAAATTTCATCCGCATGGGTATCTTCCTCGGATTCTATAGTTTCTTCGACTGCTTTCGATTTAAGGGGTTCTTCTGGGCGTGCTTGGGATATTACTTCATATGTTTCAACGTGGAAATCTTCAACTTGGCTTTCTACTATTATCTTCGATGCTTCGATGTAGTCCTCATCCTCTGCGCTGCGATCCACTTCTACCAAGCAATCGGTGGGTTCCTGTTGCTGCACCTCCTCCTCCACTGTTTCGACCTCTTCCTCCACGAGGTGCTCACCTCCGTCTTCTAAGATTTCCTCTTCCATTCCAACGATTTGTAGTTCATCTCCAGCGATATGCAGATCCTGGACAAATTCTTGGTTTTTCAGTTCTTCCACGACTATTGGTTGGTCCTCATCAATGAACTCTTCTTCTTTAGGGGGAGGAAGTACCACTGCTCTGTACATAATATGCTTCCATTCATCGGTGGCCAATCCGCAGTCTGCTCGTAGTTCCTCATAGTTTACCGAAGTATCCGGTTTTAGGGCCTGCAGTCTGTTGAAAAGGGTCTGCACTTTGCGAACTCTCTCCGAGAATTCCATGAGGCAATCCATCAAAGTGAAGCATTCGGAACACAGATAATTGCTCAGCTCATCCTCCTTTTTGATCTGAAAGGTATTATATAGCTTGTTTATATGTTTTTATGCAAATGAATAATAGTTATTTACATCCACCCAGAAGTATTTGCCAACGGTCATGGCCAACATGCTCGTCCCCGAGTTCTGATGCTCCTCCCTGGAGTACACATTCCGGTTGGTCAGATGATCTTGGGCACACAGGCGACACCATCGGTGCCAAATTGCTGGATCTTCATGGGTGGCTTCCTTTTCTGCAGGAGTACTCGACATGTTAAAAAACCATTTAAAATCGCTCTTGTTTTGTTTTGATTAACAGCTCTGTCTTTTCCAGAACACCAGGGCTGGCAACGGCCCAAGCAACCAGGGATGCGTATGTTTTTTGGTTCCAGTTCACGAATCAGTGGTTCCATAACGGATTTTGTTCTCTTCTACTTAATGGATTTTTTAAGTAAATCAAATAGCATCATATAGTACCCCATAACTAAAGCAGAACTTTCATCGTTTAACATGAAATTGATAACACAATTTAAACCATGGTGGTTTAAAATATTTATGTAACAAGTATTCATTTTATTTATTAGTCTTTCCGTTATAAAATTTAAAACTGTATACTTTATTCTCTAAAAATACATAAAATTTGAGATTCCGCCAAGAAAGCAAAAGTTCGCTGCTAATTAAAATAGTTGCAGAAATGTTTTTTTTTCAGTTTTGTTTTAAAAAGCCACAATCAAATGTTTTTAAAAAAAATATTTTTCAATTTTACAGCCCATATTATTTAAGTAATTTTTAAAATTTCTGTAAGAATCAGCGCCAACCCAGTTTCAAAATAAAAAACAAAATCTGAGCCATTTACAAAATAACTTATATTTGTAAAATTCAAAAACGTTCTACTTAGATATTAGTATTTGTGTTATTAACTGCGTTAATTAGGTCCATCATCACTCGAGCTCTTTTAGAAGTTATGAGCATTCTTAAACTGTCCGTAACTCTGCGTATTCTCAATGTCAGCGGCATATACGTTATATAGTATAGGTAATTTAGCTTAGCAGCTTAGGTAAATTAAATAATGCACTAGACTTAAACTAGGTAAGTGTACGAAACAAAATACTAGGGTTTGTTCAACTGCTGTTGATGGCGTCCTGCGACTTCATTGTCGAATTGGAGAGCAGTTCTCCGCCGGCCAGAAGATCGGCACTGGATGCCACAGCTGGCATTTGGGCCTGCGGCACTGCCACATTCACTGGGATCATTGGCATCATCGGCACTGCCGTGGCCTCCATTCCCGGAGCGGTGCTGATGGTTCGGGCCAGATTCTTCTGCTGGCGCATCAGTTTCTCCTTCTCGCGAGCCGCCTTCAGCTTGTCGAAGTCATCGCCCTCGTCCTCGACCTGCGCAGCCGCAGCCGCCAGGAGATCATTGGAGGACCTTAGGTCCATGTTTTCCACTGCAAAAATATATGGAAATTATTATTAAAGTGCATTTGGTCGGAAAAATCATTGGTAACGTGCAACTTCTAAATGGCTGGGTACTAATGCTAGGCGGGTACCAATATGAAGTTGGGATTACGGGTTTTTGGCTACCTACTTGACCAGCCAGAAACCTTTTCTGCGGCCTTACGTAGTTCAAAAGTATTAAATTTGAAGGGCTAAGCTGGGGTTAGTACTCAACAAGTGGGCATCGCTTTCAAAAACACATGCCAATTGCTTAACAAAATTAAATTAATCATGAGAAGAAAGAACAAAATAATACTTTCTGCAATGGTATCAAAAGAAAGTATATAATCAGGTGTGCTTTAATTTTATATAGTTTCTATAATTATGTTTGAAGTCAGCGTTGTTGAAATAAGTATTAGTTTTTAATAATAAAAAAGTATAAAAATTTGTTTAATCAACTTGTATGTAGTTCAAGCCAAAACTAGTTAGTTAGTTAGCTGTTCTTAAATGGAAGTATTCAAAATGATTTAATAATTTCAAATAATTTTCAGATACACAAGCTACAAATATTTATTCCGAGAATTTTTTAATTATAAACCATATGAACTGTGAAAATGAATCACACCTGTTACAAAAAAAAACACAAAATCAATAGAACAACAACAAAACGGGGGGAAATTGGCAACAATTACGTAGAAGAGCAAGCTAAAGTATTCGAACAAGTTAATATGGCCAATGGATGTGAACTTTACCGGGCGTGACGAACCACCTGAAAACCTGCGGTGCATCGGGCCTCTCTTTAAAAGTTCCCGAATTTGTTGAAAATGAAGATACACAAATGTTAAAAATGAGAGTTTAAGAAGCGGCTGGGCATTCTAACACATCCGCTAACGGGGATGGTGAAGAACCTTTGAACTCACCTGTCTCCCGGCTGGCGGCCTTTTGAGGATCGTATAGGGACTTGGAGCTCTCGCCCACTGGGGAACTTGGAGCAGTGGCTGCATTGGACAGAAGTAGGGGACTTCCACCCGCCGGAGCTGAAGTACTGAGCAGTGCATCCACTCCGCCCGGTGGGAATAGAGTGGGTTCGTACTGGGATTGGGCACGATTATATGAGGGCGGACGTGCTGGTATGTCCACCGGTTCCGAGTGGGCGGGTGGCGGCTGCAGGGGCACAGATGGGCCAGCTCCCGAGGACGAGGTCGGTGCAAAAATATCCATGACATTGGGCCGCGGCTCACTGGCCCTCATGGAAGTGATGGTGGCCTGTTCGTCCACCTCTTCGATGACTTGTTGGGTGATCCTCAGACTTCCAACTGGTTTTCCCGCCGACGTAGCCGATCCCACAACTCCTCCCGAGAGACTCGCCGAACTGGCGCTGGCCGGGAACTTGTAGGGCTGATCCTGACTGGGCGTGGCCGATCCCGGCCTGCTGTCATCGCGACTCAGGAACCGTTTGAGTGCCGAGGCCACTGTATTCACTCGGGATAGGGTACCCGAAACACTCACTAGCGAGGGCGACGATCCCAGGCGCATTTTGCCATTCCCAGCTGAGAAGTGTATGCCACTGGCATCATCAGCCTGGTTTAAGATATATTAAAGATATATTAGATTAATATATTCTTAGCAATTAGTAGATAGATTATGTTCTTAGTTCCGCTGTGCCCGGATTACTTGAAACCATTTAGTGCTCAAAAGTCAGTGCAGCAGAAAGCATTCGAAAGTCGTGCAGTGCGAGGTGCTGTTAGAGGCTTTAGGCTGTGGACAGATCTCTTAGACAATTAGAATCAAAAGTTAGTATTCACATTCTTAAAGCATAGAGACACAAACACCTTTCTAAGATTATGGTTAGACTGGAGATGGGGCACAGTAAAATATGCTCAAAAGAAATAAAATAGTAAATGAGAAAGAAATCACTTAAAAGTTAAAACAATAATAATCATAATAACTTCTTACAATAAATAGGTCATAAAAGATAATATTAAAGGCATTTCGAAGTAATCTAAAATGCATAAATAATATTCTAAAAGCATTCTCTAAGTTAAAATAAAAATCTTTATAGGTTCATCATTTCTGAGAATAGCTTTTTAGATCACCGCTAATTAGATAGTCTAATTAGTAAGGCTTATCAACTAAGTAATTCATTAATACTTGAATAAATACTTGAGCTTTTACTGTGCCCACCCCTTAGAAATAGTTATACACACTCTGTACATCTAGATTAGGTTTTATATATACCAAGCACCGTTGTGATTCAGAATGCCAATGAGCGAACTGTGATCCCACAAAAGCAATGTCTCTTCGTGTTGAACAAGAAAAAGAGGTTAGAAACTTGTAATTTCGATATTGAATTCGATTTAGTTTTGATTTGGATCAGATCGCAGGACGAGAGATGATGAATTTGGTTAACCAATCGAGAGTTCAGGTGCCAATGCTTCGTAACGCTAGGGAATGCAGCCAACGTTTTGATTCTAACCTCCTCATCTGCCGAGCCCTTGGGAAAGTCATAAGTAACGGTCTGGACCCCGGAGTCCGCGACCGGAGCTTGAACTTGACCCCCCGGAGCAGGGGGCTTCGCTTCCGCGGCGACGGCGGCGGTGGGGTCACCACTAGCATTACCAACCATTTCATCAATCCGCACGGACGACATAGTCGAGGGCATGGCCGCATTCTTGGGCACCTCGATCTTGGCAGTGGACGGTTCCGGATGATTCTCCCTGAATCTCTCGGCAGCTATTGTGTAGGGCAGCTCGTTGGGGAACACCTCATCCCAGTACTGATCCTTCAGGAGCTCGGGATGGTCATGGTGCATCTCGTCGACGATCAAGTAGGATACCTGCAGATTACGATCTACCATCCAGTTGACCTAAGAAAAATTTTATATTTATAAGATTGCAATATCCATAAATCATCTAGTACGTACCTCAAAATCATCATCGTCCTCGCCAAAGGGATTAATCAGAGACTCGGCCACCTTGAGCCAACCCATGTAGAAGAAGAACTGCAGCGTGGTGAAGACCGGAAAGTATAGATCCACCTTGTTTAGGTAAGTGGTATTGCCCACCACCTTGCCATCAGTCCACTGCTGACCCATGCAACAAGTGAGGAAGTACGAGTAGACCGCCAGGGTCACCACTTGGGTGTAAACTAATGGTACACTGATGGTATCATAGCTTATGAGGAGTCCACATTGACCCCGAAACTTATTTAGCTCATCGATGATCGTCTTCACAGCGAAGTCATCTCGAATACGGCCCTCTTTTCTAGCTCTAGTTATTATACTAGCAGCCCAGACGATGGGCAACCAGTGTTTCGAGGGTCTCGGAAAGGCCTTGTTCATGGTCTCTATAATGGTTTTCTCATTATCATTTAGCAGACCCGCTTCCACTAGATTATCAAGGCCCGGAAAACGTTTCTTCACCCTCGGCGAAACATTCGCCAGGACCATGGTCAAACAAAGGCACACATAACGCATAATTGTTCGTCTCATCATACGTCCTCGTTCGTCCTGGCCATGAACATTGGAGCTTACGAAGACCGCAATGGGATCTGGCCAGGGAATGGAGGTGTACTGATTCCACCAACGGGTCATCACAATGGATACATAGAAACCCAGCACAAAGGACAGGGGTATGAGTTCTCTATAACTATCACAGTACTGAACAATGGCCTCAAAGGTTCTGAAAGAAAGTAAATAACGTGAGTAACAGAGAAAAAACAGGCCAAATTATTATTTACAGTGCACGATAGAGAAATTACCATAGATGTTTGCTTTTAATATTAACACCTTTATGAAATGGTCATGTCAATTTTTGCAGATGTTCCTCCAAATTATTAGGATTTTGGGTTTTTAGTTACCTATGCACTTTATAAAGATTTTAGAGTAAACAACGACTGCTAATATAACTTT